TACTTAGTCATAGTTTCTTGACCTGGTAATAGTGCAAGGTCTGAACTCTATTTACTCTCTTGCTCTCCATGCCTTGCCCAGTTTGCTTTTTTTTTTTATACAACCCAGGACCACTTGCCCAAGAATGGCATTGCCCACCGGGTGCTGAGTTCTGCCACATTAATCATTAATCAAGAAAATTGACCACAGGGTTGCTGCTGACAGGCTAATTTGATGGAGGCATTTTCTCAATTGAGGTTCCTTCTTCCTAGATGGCCATATTTTGTGTTAAATTGACAAAAAAAGTAGCTATCATAGCAATATTGTCAGTGATTGCAACTCTGTATTGTAGATCAGTTTAGGAACTACTAAATCTGGCATCCATCAAAAAAGAAAACTGTGATAGAGGGAATGGTACCTGTAAGTCCCTTCCTTGAATTATCTTTTTAATTGTAATTTGGTCCCATGGGTGTAGCCCATTTGTCAAAGGTAATAGTTGCTCAGATTCCTTTGTTGTCAGCTCCACCCACAGGTCAGAGAAAGTGAAACTCAATGGAAGGAAGTTCTGGTCTCCCTTTAGCCTTTGCTAATCCAGCTAAGGAATTACAATTTTCATCAACTGTAATATCAGCACGCAGATCCATGCCAATTCATTTTGTTAATTCTTCGATTTGAGTTCTTATTCCAAACTCTACCAGAAAGTTACATTTTCATCCATGATTTAATCCTAAGCCTGTGCTACTTATACTTACCACAAGCTAAGAGTAGCTTGCCAACCAACATCAACAGTTTATTCTCTATTTTTATTCCTAAATAACACCTTAGTAATATTTTTGTTAAGAAAGGGTTATGAATCTTGTAAACATTTTCACTCCTGATATGTATATTTTATGACATAAGAAAGTTCTGTCTTCAACCATAGGGCTTTACCATTAGATTATAGAGATAGTTTGTGATGTTTGGGGGAAGTAGATCTATGGGACCCTGTGGTGATATTGTGTTCCCCAATATATTGTGAACACTAATAAACTTATCTGGGGTCAGAGAACAGAACAGCCACTAGATATAGAGGCCAGAAAATGGTGGCACACATACCTTTAATCCTAGCATTCTGGAGGCAGAGATCCATCCAGATCTCTGTGAGTTCAAAGCCACACTGGAAACAGCCAGGCACGGTGACACATACCTTTAATCCCAGGAAGTGATGGAAGGAAGCAGAAAGATATATAAGGGGTGAGGACCAGGAACTTGAGCCTGGTTAAGCTTTTGGCTGGTTAAGCTTTTAGGCTTTCAGAAGCAGTTAAGCTGAGATTCATTCCAGTCGAGGACTGAGAGGCTTTCAGTTTGAGGAAATAGGATCAGCTGAGAAGTTGGCGAAGTGAGGTTGGCTGTGGCCTGTTCTGTCTCTCTGATCTTTCAGTGTTCACCCCAATACCTGGCTCCGGGTTTGTTTTTATTAATAAGACCTTTTAACAATTGGTGCTACAAGACCCCTTTGGCCAATGACAGGATGTAACCGGTGGATTTGATGTTTGAACCTAGACAGGATGACTAGGCTTAAACAGATCCTCTTCTGCATGCCAGATATGACACTGGAAGAGAGCCGTTTCTCTCCTCTTTCTATCCATTCAGGCATGAAGAACACACCACCATGTGGTACTATTCTTTCATGACATCAAAGCTATAATTGCTTCTTCCATTAAAGTATTTTTGGAAGAGGCTGAAAAGATGGCTTAGTGGTTATGAGCACATACTGTTCTTATAGAGGACCCACGTTCCAGCATCCATATTGGGACAACCACATGTAACTCCAGCTCCAGGGGGTCTAGCTCCTGGCTTCTTTGGCCATCTGCATTCACATGCACATACCCACACATATACCCACACAATACACATAATTAAAAATAACCTCTAAAAAATCTTTAAAGTGTTTTTGAGAGAAAACATTTTAACAATATTTATTTATTTTATTTTATGTGCATGAACAATTTACCTGTGTACACCATATGTGTACCACATGGGTGTCTGGTGTTGGAGGTGAGAAGAGGACATCAGATCCCTGAAGTTGTGATAGTTGTGAGTTACCATCTATGTGGGTGCTAGGAACCAAACCTCTTCAAGAGCAGCAGGTGCTCTCATATGCAAGCAAGAGAGCACACACACATTTGTGGATGTATACATTTATTTAAAATCATAGTATAGAGTCATATAATGGAAATTCTTAGCTTCAAGAAAAATAATAGCTTCACAAAACCATCTCCTGGTTGTTTACTGAGGTTTGCAGAAAAGCTCATCATTTTGTTTAAAGTTTCACCAAAATAACCTCTGTGTATTCTTTAATAGGCTTGGTTTGAACATTGAGTGAGTGTGTGTGTGTGTGTGTGTGTGTGTGTGTGTGTGTGTGTGTGTGTGTGTGAGAGAGAGAGAGAGAGAGAGAGAGACAGAGAGACAGAGACAGAGACAGAGAGACAGAGAGACAGAGAGACAAAGACACAGAGAGAGAGACAGAGACAGAGACAGAGACAGAGAGACAGAGAGAGATTTCAGTGGCCCATATCTCTTTCCTCACCTTTTTGCTGATCTTTTACATCACCTGTGTCTGCTTAAGTAGAAGGCTTTTAAATATTGTTCCATGCAAACAAAATTCTGCTTTTTGGTTTGATATGTTTGGGGAATTGTGGACTCCCATATTCTGTGATTGATTGATGTTGTATTTAACCACACCACATCCAGTTTTAGCCAAGAACACTACACAGTATTTCTGTCCTGTGTCATCTTTTGCTTCTGTTTTTTTTCAGAGCAATTGCCTCACTCCCCTCTGGAGCTATTTATACTCTAAAGTTTCTGTTGTGTGTGTTGCCTGCCTAGTCACCTATATCGAGATTAGATCCAATAACATGAAATTCACTCTTTGTTACCATCACATGAGTTCATTAGACACTTCATGAAAAGTGAATGTAAAAATTCTCACTGTTCTTATATCCTCAAATCAAAAGCAAAATATTTATAATAATTAAAGTATGTAATAACAAAAAAGAAAATAGAAACACTTCATAGGACCCATAGCATTTCTTCAATATATAAAGAAACATGTTATGAATTTTGATATATGGAAGAAATCTACTCCACCCTTCCAATCACAAAACTGCCATGCGACATTTCCGAAGGTTTCCATGAGCTGCACTTCAGTTGTGCTCTCAGGAAGTCAGGCAGACACAAAAGCTGATGAAAATCTTAGTACTATGTCTCTGTACCTCCCTTCTGCCCCCCATGTAGTCCCCAGTTAGCCCCCCTTTCTATATAGCCTCCTGCCTCTTCACAGTGTCAGTTTTTTATTCTTCATTCTTTTGCCCACCTGACTCTCAAATAACTCTTGCCGTCTGCCAGTTTCCTCCTTCAGAGTTTGCACGATCTCAGATTTCATTAAAAAAAAAAAAAGATCATTTCTTTCTTTTTAGGGTGCAGTGGAGCATTGGATAAGGATGCTTGGGACAGTCACTGACAGTGATCCCATAACATTATGCAGCCTAATAATGTAGTCGACTTTTTAACTTGTGTAGCTATACTCTGGGATGTTCACTCAATGATTAAATCACCTACTGGTGTTTTTCTCAAAAATTGTCCTTGACATTAAGCAGAACATGGTCGTATCTTAAAACAAAAGAGGCTGTGGTAAGAGACACATGAGATCATGAATTCTATCCTTAGCAAAATAAAATATGTAAAGGAGTAAGAGGGGTGTTAGTCCAGGATATTTTAGGGAACTGGTCCATGGGATGGGAGCATAGAGTTGTCCCCGTGGGAGTGAAAAATAATGAAACTTATCTCTTGCCTCTGCCATCAGATCTTCATGTTTCTAGGGAAATTTCACAGAATATTCTATTTTCCTTTTTCAAGAGAGACAGTATGCTGATGCACGGGCATTAACCAGTATTTTTTTTTAATATTTAATTTGAACCTACCACCAGTAACTAGTAAAATGCATTATAGCCTTAAGTTTTCATTCCTTTTATTATTGGAAAAACTGTTTACCGAATGAAATTGCTTATGTGCATTTCATTTGAAGCTATATTTATAATTGCAGTGCCTCTTCCCCTTAGGTGTGTGAGAGAGGCACTTAATTCTCATTGATTCTTTGTCTCAGAGGACTGACAATTCTGAGCATAGCTTAGGTGGTTAAAAACAATACCAGTGTTGCATTTTCAATTTGGCTAATAAATTGGCTTTAGAGAAAAGCTTCTTTTCATGACACCTGGGAATAAAGCTAGTGATTTGCTGATGGAAGTTCACTTTTGTTCATTTTTTCTTCTGGCATACAATTAAATACTATTTCAGATCAAGGGAATCTCCCCTAGCCTTACAAGTTCTTATAAGTGTCAAAAAATACATTGTAAAATGCAATTTAAAGGTGAAAGGGAGAAATAAATTAGCCTTAGGCTTGAAGGGTGGATAGATAGATCATGCTGTTTGCCTACAGAAAATGTTAGTGAAGTGGGTTATTTTTTTTAACCTGGTGTTAAGGTAACAAAGAGAGCTGAGGTGTCTATTTTAAGGGATAAATGCTTACTGATTATAAATGCACAGCCAGAAATTGAGTTTACACAAGCCTAACCATATAGATTCATCTAATTGATCTCTAATATGAAAAAGGACCATTATGTCTCTTTCAAAATCTCTACTGCAACGCTTTTTTTCCTACTCAGATAGAAATGACTATTGACTTAGAAGACTGTTCCCTTTACCTCTCAGATATGCTCTGATTCCAGGGAAGGGAATTGTGTATATTTGTATATTCATCCAATGCCAGTTAGATCTGAAAACATCTTCAAATTGTGAGTCCTGGTAAAACCGGATCAACTTAAAAGTTGAGGGATGAAAACAGAATACCTTTAAAACAGGGTGGAATTTGGGTTTGGTGTTTACAAAAAGGTAGGAATTAACTCAACCAGCATTCTCAAAGGAAAAGGAGTAAAAAGAAATTTTATGTTTTGGGTCATTTGTGCTTTTCTGTGTTTTTGTAGTGGATCTCTTGAGCCTGTCAGCTGCATGTGATGCCTTGGACCAGCACAACCTCAAGGCAAATGACCAACCCATGGATATTCTGCAGATCATTAACTGTTTGACTACTATTTATGATCGTTTGGAGCAAGAGCACAACAACTTGGTCAACGTCCCTCTCTGTGTGGATATGTGTCTCAACTGGCTTCTCAATGTTTATGATACGTATGTATGGCAAGAGGGGACCTAGCTTACACAGTGATGACAACATTGCCATTATAGTAGTGTCCCAGCTACGGATGTCTTCTTCCCAGGATAAATCTTTTCTGCATATGACTTGAAACATATTTGATAAGGTAGCAGTAAGAAGTGGGATGCAGCCCTTAATCCCAGGGACAGAGGCGGGCAGCTTTTGGGGAGTTTGAGGCTAGCCTGGTCTACACGGTGTAAGTTTCAGGGCAACCAGTGCTACTAGTGAGACTCTCAGAGAGAAAAAAAGAGCTGGAATGCAGACTGCTCTCAGATCCAAATCCAGCGATAACCCACGATAAGACATTTTTCCAATAAAATGAGTTATCATGTAGTTCTTTGGAGTTCTTCCATCCACTTTGGAGTGGGCAGGGATAGCAGTGTTCCTGGAGATGATGGCACACCTGTCAACAGATCAGAATTGTAGCAGATATGCAGGACAGTTACAGAGACTGTGAGTAGATGAGTCACACAAAATGAAAATAAGCTCAAATACAGCAAACTTAGCTCCTGAAACCAAACAAGTTTGTTGTTGTTGTTTTGTGTTTTAATAATGTTTCACAGAGCTACTCTATGGCACTTCCATTCATCAACCTCAGTTAGAGAGCAGTCATTTATTTCCTTTGGATTGTACACAGGACATAGCTCCAGTTCTCATTTTTGTTTTCAGCTTAATGAACACAATTGAGGAAGGAAGCAGAGGAATTGGTCTTGATTTTTCACCGAATTCCTCTTAGGCCTCAGAATTATTACACACCTTATTTCACATAACAACTAGTACGTAACTCCCATTTGGAAAACTTGGAAGGATTTCTTAAAGGACTTGCATATCAAATACTTTTCCTTCTGCCTCTGTTATATGCTTCTATCATCTCCTTTTGATATGCGTATAGACTGTTTTCCTTGTTATTATGGTAAGATATTAACTTTTTAAGTTTCAGCACCATCTGACTATAAAGTACATATACTTATCTACTTGGTTCTTGATCATATCAGATTTTAATTGTGGATTACATTTACATTTGGTTTGATCTTGCTTTATATTTGGGTCTTACCTGATATTATTTTTGTTGGCATCATTTTCTTTGTAGATGAGATGTGAACTTTCATTTAACCTACCTGAAAGTTATTTCAAGATAATTTTAACTCCTTAAAGACTTAAATTGCTGTATAAAGTTTACCTGTCAATATGCTTTTTTCCTAATAGGAAAACAGATAATCTTTTGCAGTGACAGGAATTTTATTAAAGCATTTGAGTCTAATATTTTTCTTTAAATAAGAGATCTAGTAAGTTGTACTAATTGAACATTGAGCATATTGACGAACAAACATACCAAAATCTGAGATACAATTACTTTCCAAAATCAAACAAAAAGCTAAAAAGTTGTTGAAAAACATTTGCTACAAAATGGAAATCTATTCATTCCATTTTTTTCTTTTTTACCCTATAGTTAAATTTTTGTGTTAATGCATTTTTTGTGTAGAATGCTCTATTTCACTTTCTAATGTAACAAAACATAACCATATTAGAATGTTCATGTAGGAGTAGGCTACTTGATAAGTATATCATTTTTTTCTCTCTTTTTCTTTTTTTCTGAGGCAGGATTTCTCTCGTAGCTTTGGAGCCTGTCCTGGAACTCACTCTGTAGACCAGGCTGGCCTCAAACTCACAGAGATCTGCCTGCCTCTGCCTCTCAAGTGCTGGAATTAAAGGTGTGTGCCACCACCAACCATCCCGATAAGTATATCTTATAGAGCATGCATGTGAATGCTTTCTGATAGTATATGCCATGGTTTCATTGGATATAAATATTCATATTTTATATTTTGTGTGACTCATCTTTCTAGTAAGCAGTGATTTGATGAAATTCTGGGAGTACTGAATAGAGAAGAGTTAGTTGCTAGAAATTGTTTTTGGCTTCAACAACCAAAATTGACAATTTGCTTTAGTAACTATAACTGCTAAGTACACAATGATAATTCATCCTCTTACTCAACCAAGGTGCCTCCCTGTACATGAGAGGAAGGGTATTTTAACCTTATTTTATGTAGAGCTACTCTGGCAATTCAAGTAAGCACTTTTAAGAGTTGAGAATTGGGTAAATATTCATTAATTTGGTTCATAAAACTTTCCCATTGCATTCTAGGTCATGAGGCAAATAATGAATTCAGAAAAGTTCTTAACAACCTTAATCAAACAGTGGTCTATAAAGTTTCTGTATCCAAGACCTTTTTTCCCTTTACCTAGGAGCTTCTATACTCTATTGGAGTCCCAGTAATTGTTTTCTGGTTTGATTCTTCATAATAGGGGACGAACAGGGAGGATCCGTGTCCTGTCTTTTAAAACTGGCATCATTTCTCTGTGTAAAGCACACTTGGAAGACAAGTACAGATGTAAGTCTTGTGTATGAACTCTATTTTTTATTGATGTTGCCTAATTACTCTCATTCTGGGTAGAAAATGATACACCGTTCTTATTTGATAGCAGATTTGTCGCTTCAGATGTAGAACTGCTTTTAAAGTGTCATAAAATTTGGGTTGTGCTGTTCCCTGTCAGACATTAAACTGAAAGTATTTAAATAGAGACTGAGGGTTTGCTCAGTACTTGCCAGTCCAAGTATTACTTTATGTTACATTGACTGTGTCTTAGTAAAACACGTGTTCCAAGGGGATAAAGTCTGATTTCCTAACCCCTTTGTGTAAGTCAAGGGGAAGAAATGTGAAGGTTTAATCCCTGCATTTCCTGTGTCTCTTTGGATTCCCACTTAAATAATACTATCTGGCATTTGTGTTCAGAACACATTGTTTATTTTATAATCATCTTACTGCAAGTTGTACTGACGCATCCAATTCTGTGACGTGACTAACATTTTACTCTTTGAGGGGTGGCTAGCCTGCTATTTCTTAAAAGGTAAGTAGCACCCTCTAGAATTTTCTTTTGATTGGTTATAGGGATTTTTGTTTTTACTAAAAAAACTATAAATCTAAATAAAAGGCAAATGTTAAAGGACTGATAGTTCGGGTGACCAAGTCACCATCCATTCTCAGTATAAAGGACTATATATGTCCGTTCCCCCCCACCCTGGAAATGCTTGTTAGAAGCCTTTTCAGGAGGAATTGAACAAATCTAGCCTGTCCTGGCTTTCAGCATAGATGAAAAGGTATGCTGGGTGTAAAATAGGCAGGAGACAAAAGACATGGCATTTCCCCAAAGCCATAATGTATCAGACTTCCCATTTTTATAGAGTAAACCAAAATATACACAAAACACTGTAGCACTCACTTTTATATAATCTCCATGTGAATTTTCCTTTCCTAAGAACTAAACAAAACAAAATAAAACAACCCCCCTCCAAACCTGAACAATGTTTTTTAACCCTTTAACATGATCTCAGGTAAAACAACATTTCTGAGTGCCTTTATCTTTTGAATATTTTAATTACTTATTGTAGGTTAGATTTGGTGTCTTTTAAAAAGACATGGGAGTGCTTTCTCCCTATTTTCCTGTCTCCACTCAATGTTTATAAGTTCAAGGTCATCCTTTACTACCTAGTCAAACCCTTTCTTCCAAAAACAAATACAGAAACAGTAAGGCAGACATAGAAAATCAATGATAGCATAGCATGATATGAGCTAATTACACATGAGCACAGCATCCTATGTAAGCAAGCATGTCAATTTCTATGAAGCTTAATGGGCTATGACTCTGTAAAAGTCCTGATTTTGTTACATCTTTTAGTAAGTCCTAATTTTGTTAAATATTTCAATATCTGATACTCGCATGCTTTTGGCTCTTGATTCTAAAATTTCTTCGGTAGAAATTCATATCATATATACATAATAATTACCAAAGGATTGTGTTTTACTTTGAATAATTCAGTTGTTAAGAATACATTTAGGGGGCTGATGAGATGGCTCATTGGGTAAAGATACTTACTGCCAAGCCTGATAACCCAAGTTCCATCCTCAGGATCTGTATGGTAGAAGGAGAGAACCAGTTCCTGTAAGTTACCCCTGACCTCCACATACTCTAAATGCATGCATACATAATAAATCAATAGAATGTATCTTTTAAAAGTACATGTATAGCCAGCGAGATGGCTCAGTAGATAAAGGCACTTGCCACTCTGCCTAATACTGAATTTTATCTCCAGGATCCGTAAGGTGGAATGAGAGAATTGACTCCTGCAAGTTTTCCTTTGATTTGCACATGTGTGCTGTAGTATATGTGACCAGCACTCCACATGTAAATAAATGAAATTAAAAAAAAAATAATACATATAAACTCACCTCCTTTGCAGGGCTGTAGTTTATTTAAATTTTCATATTACATAGGTAGGTAGTGATGATTAAACCTAATTTATAGACATATGTTCTGATTAGCCTAAATTAGCCATAATCCCTCTCAGTCTAACATGGAGAAAGCCCTGGGTTTAGTCCCTTGCATAATATAAAACCACACACCTAAAATCTTAGCACTCGGGAGCTGGAGTCAGGAAAATAAGTTCAAACTTATTTTCAACTAGATACTAGCAAGTTTAAGCCCAGCCTGTATTACATTAGACCACACACACACACACACACACACACACACACACACACACACACACACAAACACATACAATAAAATAAAAATAAAAAGCAAAACAGTGAGCCCCATCTGTGGAAATATTGGCTATTGCTAAGAATAGTACTTGCATTGCATTGGACATTGGGTTCTGCTTCTGTCCACTTGTTCCAGTGCTTTGATTTTCATGGTTCCCTTCTTCTTTTTATAGACCTTTTCAAGCAAGTGGCAAGTTCAACTGGATTTTGTGACCAGCGTAGGCTGGGTCTTCTTCTGCATGATTCTATTCAAATCCCAAGACAGTTGGGTGAAGTTGCCTCCTTTGGGGGCAGTAACATTGAGCCAAGCGTCAGGAGCTGCTTCCAATTTGTAAGTTACTCATCTTTTTTTTTTCCTGTGTGTGTGACTTGGCAAGTTTTGTACCACCAATCTGTCCCTTGCACCACACATACACACACACACACACACACACACACACACAGCCCTCCTTATAGCCTTATAGTATGATCTAAGGTTTGCACTCTTCTGGTGTCTATTGCATGCTCAACACACTGCCACTCTGATTCATTCTGCCATTTACTGCCCCCTCTGTCCTTTCTTTTCTGCTCTTTCTCCTCAGTGCCTGAGCACTCTGCTATGGCATACATGTAGGCTGTTTCTAGTTTTGGTAAAGTAGGTAGTGTCATAATAAACATCCCCATATGTTTAGTCCTTTTCTTTTAAAAATCTCTCTCTCTCTCTCTCTCTCTCTCTCTCTCTCTCTCTCTCT